CCAGGCCGCCGGGCGAGAGAGCGGCGCCTCGATGGCCGCTGCCGCGGTCTGCGCCACTGCCCTCGTGGGGGCACAGAAACGCATTGGCCTCTGCCCGCTTCCTCAGCCCACCAGCAGCACGCGACAGCAAGGAGTTCACATGAGGACCCTTCCGGCTTGTCTGCTCCGCAAAGTTATTCCCAAATAAACTAGCAGAAGGCAGCCCGACAGCGCAGCGCTGTACAGACCCAGCTGTCCAAGAACCACTTGGGCCCCAGGGAAAACGTCACTAAGACAGCTCCCAAGGAACACCCTTTTCCTGCTAGCACCAAGGCCTGGCTCTGCTGGTGAACTCGTGCAGGAGCAGCGTTCAGCGTGGAAGAGGTGAGGTTTGACACGTCTCCCGTGGCACAGGCTAGCTACGGCCCCAGCATAATCTTGACAGGGAGGAAAACAGACCCTGAGCAAACATAGTCCTTCCCCGAAAGGTCCGAGCCGAAATCACTCACCTTCTCCACAGCTGCCTCCCGCTGCGCCTTGCTCATGTTGGAATGGATGCAGACAGCCTTCAGGCGCGGGGGCAGCCCCGAAACCTGGAAGTAAAGCCCGTTACCCACGGGTGTGCAGCCACGCAGGCCTGCCCGCAGCCCAGCACGCAAGGGCTCTGCTCTAACCCGTGTCAGGGATCGCTAAGGGCACCGGTCAGAAAGGAAACAGCCAGTAACCGGGACGGGGGAAACCCCTTGGTCATCCACCTCCGTGTTTAGGTGTACACAGCTTCTGGAGAGGAGCTTTTAAGGTCAGGCCACCCTCAGCCTGGGGACACGCAGCTAGGAGAGGCTAACCCAAGGACTGAGCTGGCCCCACTCTCGCACAAAGCTCCGACAACACCAGGGCAACGTGCACGGAGCCCCTTACAGGAGCTAGGGCAAAGGAGAGTGCCGAGGAGCGGCCAAGGCTTGGACTCTTCCTGGAGTCAAAGCCAAGTCCCGGTACCTGGTCATCCATCAGCGACACCAGCGGGGAGACGACCAAGGTGATGCACTTGGAGCGCTTGTGGTACAGGTACGCAGGGAGCTGGTAGCACAGGGACTTGCCCATCCCAGTCGACAGCACGACCAGCGTGGACAGGCCTGGCTCAGACGGGCAGAACGAGATGCTGGGATCTTACCGGCGGAGGTGGCGCAACGGGGACAAACTGGGCACGTCCCAGCCACCCCCAACCCAGCACCCCATGCACCGTGCAGGGGAGAGGATTGCGGGATCCCAAACCACACGACAGCTTGAATGAAGAACGGCCAAGGGGAAGCAAACACACCTGAGAGGATCCTCATGACAGCCACCTCCTGGCCTGGGCGGAAAGAGCTGTACCCCAGCTCCGACAGAGCCTGAAACACCTCCTCAGGGGTCTCTGCACAGGGGGAAACCCACAGTTAGACAGACAGCAGGCTCTCAGGAACCAGAAGAGCACCAGGGCTCGTGGAGGGAGCTGCCAACCCCTCCAGCAAGGGCTCAGGAGTTGTAGCGGGGACTCTGGGAGTGAAGAGTGGCCAACTGCCTAGTAACGGCAGATTTTATTCCCTGCACTAGCAACCTGTTCTCCCTGGGGAAGCGAGGCTGCGAGCAAATTGAGAGCAAGTCCTTGTAGCAGCACAGCCTGTATTCCTACCCCAGCACAGAGCTGTAAATCCCCGGAGGACCTGCTGGGGCTGGGGCTTGCAAAGCAGCAGGCTCCGTGCAGCGCGCAAACCAAACAGGGCTGATGACAGCTCTGCGGGTGGCACCCTTCCGAGCGCTGATGGCTCGGGAGCAAAGGCGAGCGCACCCCGGGGAGGCAGGAGCAGGCACGAGCGTGGCCCCCCCCCCCCCCAAAAACCAGGGACCTTACCTCTCACCTTCCCGTCTGGCCCCAGGCCATAAAGGGGCTCCATGGGGGCCGGGGGAGTGGGTGGCTCATACACCGGCCTCTGCACATCCAGGTAAGGTGCCTCCGCCGAGACCTCCTCGTGTCCCTCCTGGCTGCTGCTCCTGCTCTCTGCTGGGGATCAAGTTGAAAAGTCACGTGCCACATAGCCCGCAGGCAGCTCTTCCTGCCACACTCGGATGGGAGAGGCCCCCACCCACCCTTGACACCCACAGCAGCAAGCCGGGTCAGTGGGTCTGTAACATCCCAGATGCAAACCTGGCACCCCAGCGCAGCACAAGGCCCCATCCTGGCTGCTGCAGCCCTTTCCAGCCAGAAAAGCTGGCGCGCAATGCTCTGGCCTTGCGGCTACCTCCAAAACTGCTGTGTCTTCTCCCTCCCCAGTTTATCAGCACAGGTCTGGGGCAGTGACAGCAACTGAGGATGACAGGCAGCCACCCCCAGAGAGCAGCAGCAAGCTGATCTCAACTGGGCTGCGGAGCTGTGTTTACTCCAGCCTGGCCTTTGGGAGGTTGTAGGTTTGACGTCGCACCAAGGGCCAAAGACCAAGAGAGCCCAGCGCGCTAAGAGTCCCCAACCTGCCCTGCAGCGGGGCAGGGGCTGTGCTCCCTCCCCAGCACCAAGCACCCTAGACACCCGAGTATTTGTGGGCCACCCCTGCAGAGGGCTCACAGCATTCAGAACTAGCCACAGGAACCATCGCTTTGGGTGGATGCTGCCTACCAACGTCTTTGGGAACATCACTGGCTACAATAGAAGGAGAAGTAAGGAAGAGGAGGAGTCTGGAGACATATTTTAGGCTGCTTTGGACCCAGGGAAGGCCTGCCAGCCAGACCGGGCCAGCCACAGGGCTGGTGTTCCCAGAGGGGTTGTCTCTCACCAACAAGCACGAACCTCGACGGCTGAGACAACCTTCTGGTTCCAGGCAAACCCTCGAACATCCCACACAAACAAACAACTCCCAGCTCTTCCCACAGGGAAAAGAAAGGACACAGTTCGGCGGCCTGCAGACGTTCATCCCAGGCAGCACTGCTACTCCAGAGCCAGCTGCGGTGTGTCACTGGAGAGCAAGGCAGGCCAGGAGCTCAGCAAGCAAAGCTGCTGCCCGCGCTGTCCCCACGGAGCGGCTGCGGGGGGGGGGAGCCACGA